TGACATCTCGAGAATCAGAGGTCATCATTACTGGTAAGGGGAAGATCAAAGTAAAGTTTGGGCGCTCTTAACATAACGATGACTTATATTTTATAAATTTCTTAATCATAAAAATTACAATTTCATCGATTGTGATTGGTTTTCACTAATTTACTTACCAAGTTGTTATCGTACAGTTCAATAAGCCAATGACATTCAAAGTTCTAGTTTGTATCAACCAATCACATTTATTCTGATTGTAGTCGATTTTCAGTGATAGAACAGAATTATGAGTGTACAGAGTTGCAAGTTCTACGTTGCGTGATTTCCATCCTTGCCCAGACTCGTAAACAGGTTTTTTCGCATTAGAGGGGGGGAAGGGGGGTTTGAAGGCCAAAGGCACTTATTGACGAGTAACATCCTCCCCCGGAAAATTTTGAAAAATTGGGTCGTATGAGACTGCATTTTGTACGTATTAAAATGGAAAAGTTCATTTAATTAGGTTCCATTTCAAACTACAAAATAAACGAGTCAGAACGAAAGTATTACAGTTACCTTGATTTAACCTTTTTTGTAATAACTTGCTTTCTTTTAATCGCCGGAAGCTAGTAAAAAGACTTTCGCAGCCCGTGGGAGTGTGCGTACGTACCCGTTGCACCCCTCCCCCCTACGGGTCTGTTGCTGATGGATTGTGCACTCTCTGTGGTTGAATATTCAGAAGCTTGCTGATTGTTTCCCTGACAAATTTTCGAACTTCCCTAATCGTCAAGCAATAGATAAACGGGTTAAGAGTCGAATTTGCGAAGACAAGAGTCCCTGTATAATGTCTGTTGAAAGAGGCAGTTGTGGATTCTTCACAATGACGCAGCAAGGCCGACATAATTCCGTGTGGCAGGTAACAACATACTAAGGTTATCTGTAGCCATAGTGCACTAGACACTGCTCTTCTATTGAAAGCTATGTTCATTGAGCTTGGTGGGTTCGCGTGTTGGTTAATAAGGTCTTGAACTTGTGTTTGCCGATGTCGGAGGGTGACGAAAATCGTTGTGTAAGAAAAAACCGAGATTACTAAACAGATCAATGTGCAAACGTACGCATACGTTAAAGGTATCTGGTCATTCCAGAAGCCTATCCAAGCTTATCGCTGTCGATGTAAACAAAGATACTCTACTTAAGATATAACCTTCTATGAAACTGATAACAAAAGTAAGGCGACACGTTTCCAAACTTCCATTTAACAAACTCATTTCGTAAGCAGCATACATAGGCTGTGAAAAGAGCCCGACCAAAAGATCAGTTGTCGATAGGCAGCGTAACAGAAGTTTGGACGGTGCATGTAGTGAAATTTCCTGACCAAGAGCGACTAAGATCAGAGTATTTCCCAGGACTGCAGTTATGGACAAGAAAATGTTTAGTCCTAAGAGCCAGGTCAGCTGATGGCTTATTCTTGAGTTCAAAACAGCAGCGCATTGTTCTTCAAGTAATGTTTTTGGGATTCCATCCCAGCTAACATTTATCTGCGCCATTTTCTGCAAATGGTAACATCTACTATTTAGAGCTAATAAAAACCAGAACCACGGGTAATATTTCACGATTAAGCTAAAGGTGCAATGTATTCAAACTCCGTTCATTACA